AATTGTACATTGTGACAAAAATAATGAACTTTGGATATGGTTAGATGACTATGTTGCCAGGTTCGACATGCAAGAATTTTGCCTAATTACTGGACTACCTTGTCATGAACTATCCATTGAAATTGAGTACAGTAACGATTGTCTTAGAGATCAATACTTCCATGGGGTCAAAAAATTAGCAATAGAATACTTTTTGAAGCTTTCCATATGTGCGAAGACGAGGAAGATAAATTTAAGTTGGGACTAGTTATGTTGATGGAGTGTGTGTTGAAACCGACTTCAAGACAAATTGATTATAGAATGTTGGGCAAGGTTAAACATCTTAATACGTTCCTTACGTATCCATGAGGCCGTACCTTATATTTCGTTCTGTTAAATTCGTTGAAAGAGCCGCAATTGGAACAAGTGGTAAGGGTGCAACAGAACCGACAAACAGAATGTAAGTATGTAGTACAGGTCTTTCTACTTGCATTTCAGGTATGCTGTTCATATTCTAAGTCTTCCTGTATTCCGTAGAATTTCTTCGTAAAAAAATATATTATATACATCGACATTTATTTGTAATTCTATTGCAGTATTGGATATATGAAGCATGTCCACAGATCGTGCAAAAGTTTGGACGCCGTAAGTACAAAACGGCACAGATTCCACGAATGTACAAGTGGATGCCTAATACAATATTGAAGGAAGCGATTGTTAAAGAATTTCTGGATACGGAAGATGTATGACTTTTTAATTCCAACGTACAATGACGTTCGCATTAAATTGGTAAAGCTTGACATTGAAAAATTTGCTGAGATGAACTTGTTTACGATGATTACAGATCGAAGTCCTTGCAGTACTGCAACCTACCGAAGAAGAATTAGAAACACCGTGGTACTCAAATTTGTCACTATCAGCTGAAAATGAACATAGTATACTAGATGCCATTGTCAACGGAGAATTGGATAATGTAGCACAACCATTACCGGATTACATCCGTGCGCAGCAAGAGACAAGTGGTGGTACACCGAGAACTTCAATTGGAGCTGGGTCTAGTTCTACTTCTGGTACCTCAAGATATGTAACTGAAGACCGTTTGGAAGAAATGTTTGGTATGTACAGGCAGCATACAATATCAAATGTGGCCGATCTATGTGGTAACTTGAAGGCAGACTTTGTTGAAGAATCAAGAGCCCTAAACCACGCGATCCTTAACAACCAAAAGCTGCTGTTCGGAGAAAGACCAAATCGTTGCAAGATTTCATTCAACATGGTTTACATTCGTACATAAATAATTCTCTATCTGGTTTGTTTCAGAGTCATATGGTCCACGAATCGCAAACACAAGAAGCCCATTATCAGGCAGTTCTGCAAAGACAAGAAGAATTATTTCAAAAGCAATAAGAGCAAATGCGGTGTTATGTAGATTCTAGTTTATCTTCCGTGAGATTATACATTGATGAACATACTGTGAATATGAAAAACAGATTGTCTAACTGGGAATCGAACATGGAAGTCATTATAGATTCCTTGCAGCAAGATGTCTCTCCCCATACAAGTCTAAATCCTACTGATCATGAATAGGAGACGTGCACACAGTCTTCATTATCGACTAGTCGTCCCTTAGAAGACTACAACATGAAAAAGTACAGGACAATTAGAGATTTCATAGCAACAGATGAATCAGGGTAACAAATTTTACTCATTTTTACTAGTTCGAATGCTAAACATTATTACGGCAACGTCAGAAATTCTGTGTTGATTTATTTGATACTAATGTCAATTGTATCTACAGTGCATACTTGGACGACGGTAGTGAGAATGTCTACGGAAGGGACATACTGAGAACGCTACTAAATCGAACGAAAGATTTGAATATTGCAGTACGAAATTTTAGCAACCACACTCAATTTGATTTCGAAGTTAATATGTCTGATATATGTTACATGTGTTTATTTTATTAGCATATTGAGCTGGAGTTGAAGTTATTGAGATGGCGTATGAATGAAGGTTGTACACTTATCAATAAACAATATGCAATTTTGGACTTCCAATTCGAAGAGGAGTGCTCTCGTCACATGAGGTGGCAAATGAACTTTCGAATGGAAAACCAGAGAGGTGAAATGGATGGAACGCGCCTACAAAACTATGTCAATAGTAGATTGCCTGTAGATAGTCGTTCGTGGATGGGGTGCAAGTATTTATTAATTCCAAGCTCATATCCAGAGAATGAATATTTTCTTTTCATGGTCAATATTCCTGATTGAAAATTTCAGATATACGACTGCAGCAATAATATGCATACACCAGATGCAATCAAAGCACACACAAACGCAACATACACTATAGTTCAAGGATTATTACAGTGTCCACCCCTTTCCACTAGACGAGACATAAATAAACATATCAAGGAACGAATGAAGCAGGAGATTATACCTTATCTACCATGTGCAAACAATGAGTGAGCATTTCAACTCTTGTTATTTATTACCGTTATTAAGTTCTCGTTTATGGCACATTACACTAACGTACAAGTATTTTTTGTACATGCCAAATTGCATAATGTTTGTACTCAAATATATAGAATGCTTTGTTTTAGGGCATCCGATAGAAACAGTTTCAGCGGACAGGATGTCACTATACAGATGAAAGATTACGGTTGATCTTTGTTAGAATGAGTACTTTCTTCATCCTAGACAGTGAAAATGACGTTCTGAAACTGTGTAGCTATTTTAGATAGATAATGCAGTGTTCAAATTTTGAAATTGGTGAATCTTAAAATATTCATATACATCAAATTATCATCAATTATAGAAGACGTTCCATAGGCGACATATTAATATATTTAATTATAGTCACATACCACCAAATATGTTAAGACAATTATTTTTATTTATCTAAAAAAATGAAGAGGAAACAAGAAAAAACAAAAGGAGCTGTAATTTTGCAATGCATGTATAAAGATTAAAGAGTACTATAAGTTAGGTTCATTGTATTAGATTCTATTGAATAAAATAATAGGCAAAAATGAAAAAAAATAAAAAAATTCTTTTCCATTTTCATATGCTTCGATACTATTTAACCCACCTTACCAAATACGAGATAAGCATAATTTGCCTAATTAATTAGGGGTGCGACTAACTCTATAAAGAAGAGTTCATATATTGTCGTTCTCTTTAATTGGGCACTACATTTCATTTGCAATTGTAAACATTATCTTTTAGAATAAAAATGAAAAAATACAAAGTTAAAGTGTAAGAAATACAACAACAGTTTAAACAACAATAATACAATATTTGTTTCTGTCCATCCTTCTGGTGCTGTAAAGTAATTCATAATTCTGTGTAAATTAATTCATAATTCTGTGTTTCTATTCAGGTTAATGTGACAACGTCCACCCAAATTGGAATGGATATGAAATGTGGGTACATGACAATGATAAATTTTCGATAAAAATCGACACTCACGACGAATCACCGTTATGGTTGCTGTGCCATGTAATCACGCAGTCTGTCCCACTCATTTCACTGCATTTCGACGACATTCATTTCGCCATGCATTTCGTCATTCACATTGGGCAGCTCCACCTCCGCGAGCGCATCCTCATCTGTGTCCGCCAGCAAGAACGCCTCATCTATAATCCCCGAACGGCGTAGTAAGTTATGAATACCCATCATCACTACAACCACTACCACTTGTGTTCGGAATGGGTAGCTAGGCATACAGTCGAGGATTTTCCACCTCTGTTTCCACACACCAAATGTATGTTCTATGACATTCCTGCATGACGAGTGCTTGAAGTTAAATCTCTCACGCACATTTCGAAACCTTCTGCGTCGTCCCGTACCATCATCAGCGAACTATTGGAAGTGATACAAAATATCTGAGCCTTTATAAAGGGCCATATACCCTGGCCGATGTGCGAAACCTGAGTCCACCAAATAATATTTACCTGGGGCTGGTTGTGGAAAATGTATTTCGGGACTATGAATTGCACGAGCTAGTATGTGAGCATCGTGCATACATCCTGTTGTGCCAGCGCGCACAAAGGTGAAACATAAATTGAAATCGCTTGCAGCTAAGACATTCTGCGTCGGTACTCCTTTCCTTCCAATGAAGTTCACACATTCGTGATGTGGTAGCACGGCCTTCACGTGCGTCCCGTCAATAGCACCGATGCAGTCTTGAAATAGTGGATGCTTATTTGGGTCAGGCCTGTAGGGCTCCACACCTTCATTGTAGTTGTCAGCCGGACGGATCATACATTGCGCTAATGCGATGATAGCACGGAGCACCTGCTTGAAATAGTGACATACTATTTGTAACGAATGATTGAATAATGTTGTCATCTGGCGGCATCCCTTACCATGCACCAAGATGCAAAGGAACATTCCTACCTGCTCGTAGATATCCACTTGTTGGGGTTGCTGCATAAGCTATACTCGTCACGGAGAATATGAGCGTAATGCCACAACATTGGCGGGTACATTCGGAATTCTTGGTGACACATACGTCCGTTCCCTTTTAATGCCTCAATCATAAATATGTGTCCATTCCTTGCGAACGAAAATCTGCGAATTCGTCGTCGCTGTCTATTGTAGTATTTACGGGCGTCAGTGTAAGATACTCTGCAATACTCCAGCACGCGTTGACATCCGCGACAAGGCCCTTGTAAATTTTCTCCTCGCTGATTTCTTCCTCCACCTCGGAGTGCTAGAATAGGAAGCAATTAAAATCCATCACATCCATTCGCAGACTACTATGTTCAGAAAATATTGTAGTAAAGCTACGTAGAACACCCTTGCTTATACTCATTATGCTCTTCTACTTGTGGAATAACATATATGTAGAGGTGTGAGGAAATGGGCCATTATTGCATTTATGACTGATACGAGTGGTAGTATGTTATTGCCAGGGATAGATTCATTGTCGAGGTACAAGCATGACATGTACAGAGGAAAGAATCTTACAAAGTACATAAAATATCTAAGAAAGTGGGAAAGTAGGCAGATGGAAAAACATGTTATTAAAAACAAACACAGTAGCACAAAATAAACGTTTCCAACACTAGGCGGCATGCAAACCTAGAGTATGTCACGCATACTGGCAATCAAGGAAAAAAACAACACAATTCAAATATTACAACACGAACTCATGAAGCATACAAAGGGCAACATACAGTCAAGCCAACGCATACCGAAACAAGCTAATGCAGTGATCTATTACGTTCGCTGAACTGCCACTCGATCCATTCGAACTTCTCATCGGCATCTTGCATGACACTGAGCATGTCTCGAAATCTTATTTGTGCTAGGAGAGTGCAAGCGTAGAAGTACATTGGCGTCCGCCTTTGTAGCCGACCGGTCGAAAGCAATTCCTCTACTCATGCAGCTCTAGCATTGTCCGTCGGATCAATGATGCTATTAATCTTTGCCGTTACAACCTCAGTGGCACTGTTCGCCCGATCGACCAAGAAGGACAGTTCACGAGCCAAAACATGCTTTTTTCTTCCTATGCTGCTTCAACGTTGACGACTTCATTTTATCGCCACTTTTGGGCCTCGACATGCTCATGCTTTTGCTACCGTTCCCATCGCCCTCGTCATTTGAACTGCTGCCCTCACCCTCGATAGGGATTGCATCTCTGTGGTCTTCAAGAGCACTGTCCTCAAAACATTCGAATCCAGTTCTGCACAGCTTTGTTGGGGGTAACTACGTACTTTTCGCTGTTGTAACTGTCCTCGAATAGCAAACGATATTGAATGTAAATGTCGCTCACGTCTCGATCCTTGAAGTTCTTGTACTCCTTGTTCTCCTACGACAAAATCAGGAAAAATAGTTAAATCAACATCGCACGAGGTGTGAACGGGACATAGAAACTGTACTCCAATATCCCATTCATAAATTGCACCAACAGTTTGCCCCCAATGCCCTCCCATGCACGACAACAAAATACAGTTCAGTGAGTTATGTGCGGAGGCAGGAACAAAAGGCAGTACAACAAGTGCACTACGAAGTGGCTTCTGCTTATGTAAAACACAGTTCAGTAACATGTGGGCTAAAAAAAATGCATTCCTCATTTGTCTATGTCGTGAGTGAGCAATTATGAAAATGTGCACAAGGGATTCATTTTTTCAAAACGTTAGTCGATACTATGTAAACCATATCTTCCTACCCCCAAGAAGTAAAAGCAGTATGCCATTTCAGATTAATGAGGCCGGTCAGACATGTGAAAACATTGTTAATTGTCACCTCAAAATGGAAATCTTAGCAATGGAATTCTGATAATTGAATTATAGATTTACCGTATGCACCATTGGAGGACAAAGTCGTTACCTTAAATTTTTGTGACCACCACTCCTCGGAGGCAACAATTCTACCAATCGAATCATCGTATGCAACCCCGCTGCTATTAAGCAGCTCCGACAGACTTCTATGCTCTCGACGCAATGCATCCCAATGGTTGCGGAGTTTTTGTTTAGTCCAACTATGTCCGAACACCGAGTTGAATAGCGCCACCACATTTCCCAGCCATGTTTTGTGTTCGGCAATGGCAGTCTCGCAGGCTGCAATAAAGGTCTGCCTTTCCGCTTGATTCCATCGAGCATTTTGTTTTACCCCAACTGTTGGCCAACTGTGGTGGCCTTGGAAGAACTCACTAGGGGAACATCACCTGGCTGGGAAAGCAAGACCCAGAATTACAAAGTATGAAGCTCGAATAGGAGAGTAAAGAACGGAAATGTAGAGGCTATGTCCAAACCTGTATGTTTAAGGGCTCCATAGAAAGCGGAACATGGTGTTCTCACGAGGCACGTTTAGATGCGGTTGAAATTCGAGAAAACCTATTCTCGTTCTTGACAGCCGGAATTTGATGGGCAAAATAATGAGATGTACCGAATTTAGTTGGCCAAACAGCTGTGTACCCTTCTTCCAACGATGACTCCCAGAAGGTTTATTCTCATCTGTGAACAAAATTGGACTGTCAAGGTCGTCGATTACTATTGCGTGGCGATGGAAATTGTTTAGAAGTCCGAGATTATCACCTACGGTGCCTGCGTCGTGCTTAAACGCTATTGGAGGTGTGCCCTTCCCGTATTTAAGAGCTCCCTGGTAATAATCTGCCAATCTGAAAGGCAGGAGGTTGGGCACTGTGTACAAAATGGCGATTTGCTTTGTCTCATACGCAAGAAGTCGTCGACGGTGAGTATGCGAAGTGGGCTACTGTGGTACTTGGTGGTGTGGAGGTCTTGGTTCAATGGAAGAGATGCTGGAGATTTGGGAGATCTATGGGTTGGTGGTGGGGGCATTTGGGGAAACATGGGTATTAACTACAATAAATGGCTTTGCAGTGATAGAGGACTTTGTCTGGATAATGTTCGAATTTCTCATTTTATTTTACACAAAATGGGAAACAAACACACACTTAAATACGATTAACTACGGTGAAATAGTGTCTCTAACGCTAGTATCCTCGAAATATCCATGTGAATATAGTTAGCCTAATTTCTAGAATTAATTTAGTTGGATTTTTAGTTTCACCTTTCAAAAATTTGATACTTGATAAATTATCTCGTGCACTTGTAGAATTATAGCAAAATAGTGAAAACCCGAGGTATATCTCTTACAAAGCAACACAATGGTGTCTTCAAAGACCTTACGTTCTCCAGTAAATCCATAAAGTGGATGCTTGTTGGGATGAGTTGATCTTCTTGACCTAATCCCATTCACCTCTAATCAGAGACGGTTTTGAGGGTGCGCGAGTTGAACGACCGCATGGGGCCTCAAAATTGTAGAGGCACCAAAATTTTTTTTGGTCATAATTGAATATTTAAAATATAAAATTTTTATTATTATGTATAAGATATTAAAATTAAGAATAATGTGACTAACTAATTATAATTTCCTTGAATATAATATTCTAAAATAGTATTCCTACCTTAAATAATGTGACTAACTAATTATAATTTCCTTGAATAAATATTCTTAAATAGTATTCCTACTTTAAATAATGTGAGGGAAAAGGAAAAAGTTGGTTGATTGGTGATACACATATTTTTGAAGAATCAAGATTGACTTAATTCATGTTACCGTTGCATCTGCTGAAAGAAGTGTTTCAAATTAATTAAAGTTATTAAAATCTTATTTGCGATCAACCATGTTATAAGAACGATTGAATTAATTAGGTTCGATATTTATTGAGCAAGACATTCTAGAAAATATTGATTACGAAAGTTTAATTAGTGAGTTTGCTTTTAAAAATACGAGAAGAAATATTTTACATAATTTGTAGCATTTCAAGCTTTCCACTTGACTTGATTTTTTTTTTTTCAAGGTTAGCTCATATGGAATTTTAGGAAGATGATAGTGGCTTAGATGGTTCTTTGTTGATGTCATATGAATTTTGATGAAGTTCGAGAGATGCTTTTAAGCTTATTTATGTTTTTCTTGTTTTATATATATATATATATTTATTTATTTATTTTTATGCAATGAAGTAATATTATTAATTTTTTTTTTTTTAGATATATGTTTAAGTTACTTGGAGGGGGCATCATTTTAAAATTTTGTACAAAGCACCCAAAATCTTAGGATCGGCTTTGTCTCTAATAAATGATGTTGGCCGAGTTCTAGTCACTCACAGGGCTGCAGTGGATGATGGTGCACCCTACTCATGTCCACCGGACCAACTCAAAGTATTGCATTCACTAGCGGCCGAGCTAGGAGGACAGAACACTGATACATAAGGAAAAAAAATGCCACAATTTTTATTTTTTTTATCATCTTAGAAAATTATATGGGCTCCGCCCCTAGCATTCAAGTTGGAACCCTACTACATTACCAGGGCAACTGGCCCCCTGGCACTACCAGGGGCGCGTCGGCCCTGGAAAAACAACAAAATCCTTCATATTGTGGTGGAATCGACAATATTCCTCGAGTCTGGCCTAGTTGCATTTTTCAATATTAGTGTATTTTTGACAAAAAATTTATGTCACGTGCTTACAAGTAGAAATCTCCTTGTGTGGAATTTAGTGACAAGAATTGAACTTGTTTAAAACGAGCCAACTTTTGTCTGCATAATTGTTGCAATTGAAATCCCGAGAGGCACGAAACAACATAAAAGTTGGTTTTATAACATGTAATCAATCAATCGGTCACTATAATTCTATTTTCTTATTAAATCTAAAACACTATAAAGAATTACTACAAGTTGCTATAAAACTCATCTTTTAGTGATACTAAGTCTTGTCGAAATATCTATGTAATATTTCGCATTTAGTGGTATCATCTAATGTAGTACACATTTATTAATGTGAACTGAAAAGTAGATGACTTGAACTTTTTGTCACATTCAATTTATGCATTGTCTATTTAGCTGAATTTTTTAGTTCAACAATTCATATCAATGGGACCATTTTATTTTTCTTTTCCAATATGTTGTTTGGAGGTTGAAAATCTCAATGACTATGGTGCTTTCAACAACCATTATTCAACTATATATGGGTTCCATCCAAAAGCTTTGTTGACAGGGCGTAAAACGACTTATTTACCAATCTTATTTTTAGAAATGCAATAAATCAGTGCAACAAAATATTTTTTTTCTCATTTCAAAGCATAGAAATAGAAATTTTGACAGAACCATTGTCAAGAACAAGATATGTTGATTAATGAGAAGTTGAAGTAAGAATTTGACAAGAAGAAAATTAGGAACGTGAGTGATATAATGAGTAAACATTGAAGATGTTAAGTGCAACAAAAATAAATTGTGACGTAAAATATAATTATCTTTTTACTTTTTACGACTTCGAGAGATATGAGAGATAGAAGACCAAAATGCCCTTCAAAAGTGCCCCAAATAGGAACGTATGTGTCATTTCATGACAGGTTATGGATCAATGAGTGTCGAAAATTAACTAGGAATCTAAGTTCTATATCTCATAAAGAATAAGGACCGAGGCATAAGTTTTTTTAATAATAACAAAATAAACGGCTATTGATTAGTAGGGCATTGAAGCTGAAGGTCATATCAACACGACGTCGTAGTCGTAGAATTAAGGCAAACTAATGCCAAGGCCCCATAACTCAGCAGTGTATCAACTAACTAAATTTTCGATGAGTTCAATTGAGATTCACGCATGTCAAGTGATTCAAAAATTTGAATGTACTCTCGAGGACATATATAAAATACGGAAAAAGTTGCAATATTAAATCCTAAAATTAAGCCAGTCAGATAGGCGAAAAAACAGGGAATCAGAGGACAGACAGATTTGACAAAAATTGGTTAGCTTTTTATTTTTATTTTTCAAAGTGTCTAATCATACTTCGACACGTGTCCAACCTGTTTTTAAGACTATCTCTATAGCATCATTGTAAATCCTAATTTATTATCGTATCACTTTACTTCTACTTAACACTTATGATAAAAGATTCGTCATGTAAAACATCTATCCATCAACAAGTTCTTGCAGGCTAGAAATTTGTTGCTCTCACTATGCTCATTGGATAAAAAACTTAGTTGCTAAAAATGTTTGGTAAATTGAAATAGGCTAGAAAAATAAGAATAAGGAAGAGATACATGAGATAAATGTTATGAATTGTTATGCCTAATTTTATTTAATTTAGCGTATCAAACATCTCAGAATGATACTGAATAATTCTATATAATAATGTCTCGTCTAACCTACCTACCTACCTAAGAGTGTCAAATATACAACTATAGAGTGACAAAATATCTAAAATTTTACTTTTGAAAAAAAATGAATAAATAATAATAATAATAATTAAATAAATTGTGCATTGACCTATTATGGTGAGATCGTCAAGCGGACAACATATGCCGTCCGATGGACATAAGAACTTGCAATACTCTCAGACCTCAACACCTTCAACCCAAAGTCAACACAAACTTTTGAAAAAATAGGTAAAAGAGAGAAGGGAGAGAGAGAGAAAGAGATGGCTTGTTTATTGAATTTTCGATAATTATTTTTACTAGAAAAATTAAAAGAAAAAATATTTAAAAAATGTTTCCAAGCGTCTATTACAAGGGAGTATCGTGCACAACTTAACCGTATGATTAAAATAAATAAATCTGATACACATGCATATAAAAGTACAAACTATAAAAAAATAAAATAATAATAAATAGTTTTCCCATACAAATTTGAAATCAGAATAAAATCGTCGCCATCAACAGGTACATGCATGAGAATCTCTTTGAACTTCTCAACAATGGAAACAAGGGTTTGGAGTTTGGTAGAGTTCCACTCCAAATTATGAATATGATACAATTTCAAAGCCAATTAAAATCATTTTTTTTATTGTTATTTCACTATTTTAATCATCATTTTTCAAAATTTCTGTCACAAATAGGACCCACTTTTTAACGATCAGAAAATCAATTATCAAAATCTCTACCAAACAAGCACTATAATTACAAGTTTTATTGCTGATAAGAACTATCCGTTCAGTAGAATATTCGGAAAGCATAGCATTGTATGGAATAGATTTTTACGGGGGATTACTCGTTAAAAATCATCAAGTATTCGGAAATGAAAAACGGCACAATAAATATCGTCTAAATATTTTAGTTAAAAAAATAAATATCGATCCAGAGATTTTCGAATACGAAACCTCGACAAAGAGATGATAGCGTATTTAAATTGTGTTCTACTAAAAAAATTCTGACCTTTTATGGTAAGATATTACATTATCGAAATTCAAAAAAGGAGGAAATGACAGATATAATAATGTAGTCCAAAGTAGGACGAGCAATAATTCATTACGAATTTCTAAATTACTCAAAAATGACAAATAACGAACTAATCAGCTAAATATTTCTGCGAGCCAAAAGTAGACATAGATCCAAAGAGATACCTCAGTAAACATATAATAACATATTTCAATTGAATTTGACTAAAATCTTCTCATTTTTATGGTAAAACATCAAATAAATGTAGTTCACAAAAAGGGGAAAATTACAAAAATAAGAATGTAATCCCAAATATGAAAGACGTTCTAACGAGGGATGACTCGGTACGAATCTTCAAGTAGTCAAAATTGAAAATGATATACTAATTGATTAAGTCCTCGTTTGTTTCTCATTTTTGAAAGAATGAGAATGAAAAATATTGTCGTTACGGACTCCACACAAGAGATAGAAATTCAAATTTAGTAGCTTGATGTGATGAAAAACGGTCATATTTTTCATTTTAATGAGAAAAAAATGAGAACCAAATAGGGGCTAAATATTTCAATAAGCTAAAATTAACACAGATTCAAAATATTTATCAATAGAAAACCTAAACAAACAGATATTAATGTATTTAAATTGAGTTTAACTAAAAAAATTCTCACTTTTATGGTCAAATATTACATGAATGAAATTCTTTAAAAAAAAAAAGATGGACAATCTCAAAAATAAGAATGTAGTCTCAAATTTATTAACCTGCAAAAAAAGGTAAAAAATTATACCTACCATCTACCATAAATTCTCAAATATATACTAAAATTAAATAGGATTAATAATTATTAGTTGGGATAATACAAAATCTAAACTTCTGTTAATGACAAAATTTTGATGTATATATAGGATTAATAATTATTTACCGATTTAGTTAAAAAATTTAGTCAAATTGAACAATCAATTTTAATCAAACATTTTTCATTATATTCAACCATATCTCAAATTCCGTCCATTTAATAGCTCTTCGACGTCATTCACATAATAGACGTCGTTTCTATTCTATCTCTTTCTATTTCTTCCTTTTCACTTAATGGTAATCTAGCTTTTGCATTATGCAAAATTTTGAAAACTTCTTTCATATAATATATTTTGTTTTACCCTTTTATTCACTTATGTCAGTATTTTGAAATAAATGATTGTAAAACCCATTCCAAAATCTTATTTTATTTTCTTTCTTTTTCTTTCCTCGACAAATCATTAAATGATAGGTTTAACAAGCGACTCTGACTAGCTATACTAAATGCTGGTTATTATAGAAAAGAATGATGCATGATGTATGAAACACCTAACTTTTTTTCAAAATTTTAAATAAATATTTAGTCAATTTTATCAAAATTTATTAAAAATTCATTTTTTAACAGAACAAACTGAAGCTACATACCGTTAATTAGGTTGGCTTGAAATAGTTGAAATTTTTGAAGTCAAATTGGAGCTCGATTTAAATCCCGTTTGACCCGTATTTTTTTGGAAATGAAAATATGTGGAATAGTGTTTCTTTTTTTGAAAAATTAGTGGCTGAAAAAATTTCTATTTACGTGTGATATTATTTTATGGAATATTGTGTGGTTAAAAAAAAATAATAATAAAATGTAATGAAATATAATTTAATGAGATTCATACGGGGGCTAATACTCTCATCCTAATTTGACTTTTTAAACTATACTATCAAGGGCCCACACCAGTACAAAGAGTCCGTTTGGTACACATTAATGAAAAAATGAAAATGAAAATATAGTCGTTATGGGTCCCACAAAAAGATAGAAATTCAAATTTGATGGCTTGATGTGATGGAGAACGATCATATTTTTCATTTTAATGAAAAAAAATGGAAAACAAACGGAGGCTAAGTTCCTAATGAATTAGGTAGACAAATAAAGGTAAAATTCATATATATATAGTGCAAAGACCTCATTAATTTTGCCAAAAGAAAAAATGAAAATCAACAGTTATGTTTTCTTTAACTTCTTCATTTATATAAATAGCTTAAAATATTCATTAAATATGTTTAGTTGATGGCTTGAACATGATTTGATAGATAACAATCACTTGTGAAATTAAAGTAACACTTGTGTAGGTATAGAATAACTCATTTTCATTATTTTTCACTAGTAATTTATTCACGAATCGTTTTCACGTGGCAGTTCCACACCAGCAAGTCATTTATTGATTAAGAAATGTATCTAATCAACAGTCTACTAAGTTGAAAAAATTAAAATTAATGCCCTATTTGTTTTCCATTTATGTGAAAATGAGAATGAAAAATATAGTCGTTACGGACTCCATATAAAAGATAGAAATTCAAATATAGTGATATGATGTGATGAATAACAATCATATTTTTTATTTTAATGAGAAAAGAATGAGAAACAAATAGGGGTTAAAATTAATAATATTCTTGTCGAAGAGTAAAAGGATTTTTTTATTTATTTTGTTTTATTTTTGGTGTTTGGTGGGCGAGGGGGGTGGTGGTGCGTGTTTGAATATCTTGACCATCTCCTTTGGAGGCTGCAATGGAATCTCAAATCTTGCATCGCTTCCTATAAATAACACATGACATCCCTTCACCAACACCAGCATTCTTTGGCATGCTTTTTCTTCCCCTCTGCGAATTTCCTGCATTCCGCTCCCCTCTTTTCTCGCTGTAGCTTTATTAACTAGTTTAAAATCACACAACACTCCCCTCCCCCGTGACCCCCAAAAAAAAATATATATATATATATTCTTTTATTCCTTTTTACAAGTTTTTATTTTCGATCTACTCGTTTGTTTTTGTTCCTACGAACCCTTTTTGTTTTTGCTGAGGTTAAGAAAGGCGAAATGAATTCACAGCCAAAAAATGTTGGAATTCTAGCCATGGAAATTTACTTCCCTCCCACTTGCATCCAGCAGGTAAAATCTTGTTTTACGCATCGAAAACACTGATATAAATGTTTGAATGTACCCAGGTATAGTCTCTCTTCTTGACTTTTTTTTCTGTGTCTTGCGGCAAATTTTGTATTTAATATTTTGATTTATGAAAATTTGATCAACCTGTGTACGTATTTTTTCAAGATCTTGTGCGTCTTTAATTTCAAGATTTCATTTTTCAGCTTCATTTAATAGAATTTCTTTCTCTTTTCAATTATTGATTATTTTTGGAAGGGGGAAAAGATTTTGGTGCCTTTTAATTATTTATTATTGGTAATATGGATAGCTGTTTTATTTGAAAACATGTTTTTTTTATATGGTACAGTTATTAGTTATTACTGTTGCATTTGTACTTTAAATGGGTATAATTATTTCATTTTTTAAAATTAAAAATCTATATGTGCTACAGGAAGTGTTGGAGGCTCATGATGGAGCAAGCAAAGGGAAATACACTATTGGTCTTGGACAAGATTGCATGGCATTTTGTGATGAAGTTGAAGATGTCATTTCAATGAGGTACTCAGTCGAAATGAGATGATTATAACTTTTGATCGAAATTTTGCATCTAATTTTAATCGTAGACTAGTTTTTGCTTTCATTTATTGTGTTTGGTAATTTTTAGTCTTGCTCGAATGATACAATGTTCCAACTATTAAACTACTTATTAGAAGTCCATGATAGCAAATTTGAAATGTTACAAAATCTCCCGTTCTTTGGGGTGAAGTCTGATATGTGACATGTTTGCAGTACCTGAAGTGATTTTAGGAGTCTTTTGGCTTTATCACAATCTGAATTTAACCACTTAAATCACAAAATTGTTAAATTTTGAGTTTACCGCCTGAAATTTACAGTGCTGTTAAAAAAAAAATGGATTTTTCTTCTTCTGAAAAGAGCCCATTGGTAATTTTATTCTTTTGGTGAATATTCTACCAGTCTTATATCGTAATTTACTAAGTATACATGCTCCGTATACATGACCTTCGTTTTACATACCATTGCATGAATATGGGCTGCTTTTCAGTTTTTACAGATAGTTTTCTATTTGCTGAAATGTCCTTCCAAATGAAGATTTTGAAACGGAGAGGCATAAAGAAATGTTATGCGTTTCATATGATATGGGGTTTTGTTTTCAGAAACAGACTGGCATGTTTCATGAGCTCCTTGAACGCAAAATTCTGCCGTTTTAAAATTTTGTTGCTGTCTTTTGAATAATGTACTATTTTGATCATTAGACCAATTTTTTTAATATGTATCCTAGCATTGGTTAACTATTTGATTTTCAGTATGACAGCTGTCACGTCCCTTCTTGAGAAGTATGGGATTGACCCAAAACAGATTGGTCGTCTGGAAGTTGGAAGTGAGACTGTGCTAGACAAGAGCAAATCCATCAAGACATTCTTGATGCCAATCTTTGAGGTATTTGATCTGGCTTTTTGAAACAGGTGCAGAGTTTCTGTTGTACACTGTTTTGTGGTCAACCACGAATCATTTAGTATGGATGTTCGAAATAATGAGTCTCAAAGTGTGTTTTACTCTAGGAATTGCTTTTAGAAGCACAATCTCACCAATCATGTTTTAGCAAAGGCTTAATTTATGGGAAATTTGATAGAGCCAACTTAAGCAGAGTGTGTATGCATCACTTTGGTTTCTGAGTTCAATATAAAACCATTCACAGCGTGCTTTGTTTCAGTCACAATGACAAAAGAGGTTCTTGGTTAGCAACTGAGCATGTTTGACTCAGCTTTAAACATGGTAAAAGATTGTTTTAAGGAGATCACCCGATAATTATTATTTACATTTCACCAGTTCGATCTCCTCAGGACCACTGAAATAAGTACCCGACTGTAAATTTCAGGATCCCATGAGATTAGTCGAAGTACATTTAAGCTGGCCCAAACACTCATGGTCATAAAAAAATAAAGATAAAAAGAAAATTATAATTTACATTTCAGATTTCGAACCTAGAGGACAAGATTGTTTTAAAGATGATCTAATGTAATGACTGGAATCATATTAAAATATATTGTGAAAGAAATCAAGTTTGGAAAATCTTTATCATGGTCATGGTTAGGTGGCATATATTTTGTTAGGCATTGTTAGATTCATTTTATTCAATTAACTATTATTAGGATAATCAAAATTATGTCTATTATAGTTTCCAAACATGTTTAACATTTAAGTAGGAATAAGTTACTTATTTTAAACGTAACTCTTAGCTTATCTTATTTCTATTTTTGACCAACAAAAATTATTTATCTTAGAACTCACTTATTTACTTATATAAGTATAATTTAAGCTTACCCAAACATTCTTAGTGCGGCATATACGTGTGGACACAGATATCTGCAGCATTTTTCTAATATCACCATCTTTCTTGGCTGATGTTTCATGTTTGATTTGTCGTAAAAATTTATTCTGTTCTTTCTCAATGTTAAACAACCAGAAACATGGAAATACTGACATAGAAGGTGTTGACTCAACAAACGCATGCTACGGGGGAACTGCAGCATTATTCAACTGTGTCAACTGGGTAGAAAGTAATTCGTGGGATGGACGCTATGGACTGGTTGTCTGCACAGATAGTGCGGTATGACCATCATCATCATCATATTTCTTTATCATTCCTTGATCAATTACTTGGCAAACATTATTCTCTCTGGAAAATCTGGAATTGTGTTTTACATAACCGTGCTGATCCTCTATACCTTGCTTCCTTTTTTTTGATTGTTTTTAATTATTGATTGAGGTTACTATTGAAGGCCACTTCTTCTCTGCTGGGTGGAAATTTTTTTTATTTTTTATTTTTTTGTAGAATGTACTAGTAAATTTTGTTGCAACGGTGAATTGGACAACACCGAACAGTATTATCACAAAAGAAGCTAAAGTATTTTTCATAATATTGTATAATCTCGTCTAGTGTTGCATAGCAAATATGGCCTATGTGTCAATTGTGTGTATGTTGATTCCCTTACCAGCAAGATTCTTTTAACAGGTCTACGCAGATGGACCTGCTAGGCCTACTGGAGGAGCTGCTGCTATTGCCATGCTAATAGGGCCTAATGCTCCTATTGTATTTGAAAGCAAGCTCAGAGCAAGTCATATGGCTCATGTCTACGATTTCTACAAGCCAAATCTTGCTAGTGAATATCCAGTAATCCTCTGTTTAACCCTCTTTACTTTTGTCTATTATCATGCTTCACATGTAAATAACTTGTGATTGGTCTTTTGGATATTGTATACTACAATGAATTTTCTTCATTGTATTCCAATTCTTTTTGGGTCTCATACAATTGGAACTGTTTTTTAGGTTGTTGATGGCAAGCTTTCTCAGACTTGTTATCTCATGGCCCTCGATTCTTGTTACAAAAGCTTCTGTACCAAGTAAACTCCTGCTGAAACACTGTTTTGTCTCTCTGTATTTAATCCTTCGGGGTCGTTGATGTTTCCAGGTTTCTAAACATTTTGTATGTAATAGGTATGAAAAATTGGAGGGCAAGCAGTTTTCAGTATCTGATGCTGACTACTTTGTATTTCATTCTCCTTATAACAAGGTAATTAGTGGGGGCGCGTTACGATGTGAGATGAAGTCATTTCGTAGTTGTTTCTCTGCTTAAAATAATTGATCGACTGAAATTAATATATGCTAACATCTTACTTCAAATGCAGCTTGTACAAAAGAGCTTTGCTCGTCTGTTGTTCAATGATTTTTCGAGAAATGCCAGGTAGATATTCTCTTTATCTTAGAGAAGCCCTAGTACTTTTTTATGGTATGTTTTTTGACATAAAGGATTCAATAGCACTTGACAATATTAAGTGCATGTTTGGGAAACATCATAATTTCCTTATAATATAATTGTCAAAGTTAAACATTAATTCTAGCTATAGGACCAACAAGCAACAATTAGTACCTACTTATCCACCGCTCATTTCTATCACATTATGATTTCAGCAAATTTAACTGTATCCAAGCAAGCATTGAAGAAGTAAAACAACCTCAAAATCCTGTTCTTTATATTGTCCAGTCATGTCTTTGCATACCAACCATGCACGTAATAGGCTTCCGTGAGTAATCGTTTATTTTATATTTTTGAAGCTCCATTGATGAGGCTGCTAAAGAAAAACTGGCCCCATTCTCATCTTTAACTATCAATGAAAGCTATGATAGTCGTGATCTTGAGAAGGTATTAATCCCTTAAAATGGGCG